CACCATTCAGCCATCTTGAATTAGATCATGAAATTAATGCATGTGCATATGTTTGATGTATGTGTGAAGTTTGAATGAAATCAGTCCAGGCATGTCTGAGATACAGGTGAGGACAGACAGATGTGAAATCTTTCACTAATTCTCAAGATGTGGTTAATTTAACAAAAAACATGCTCTCACAAAGAGATAGTTGACACTTTAGCTATAAAATTGAAATTTTTGCATGGAGTCAAATTTGCTACAATGCAGCTATATTTCAAACGCGTTTTATAAAATTGTCGGACATATAATATCAACTAAGTCTGAACGTGGACTAAATATTTAGCATCAGATGAAGTTTTCCGTTTTCATTGTTTTCACTGCCATTAGAACCATGCATATGATGGATATGGAGATCAAATTTGACCAAGATCGAGAAAAGTATTTCAAAGATGTCTATGAATTGAATGAATGAATGAATGAATGAATGAATGAATGAATGAATGAATGAATGAATGACAATTTTACTGTCAAATTTCATCACAACTAATGAATGTTATCATTTCATCAATGCCAGAAACAATCATTAGTCGACTTACCTCCCATCTTGGAATTGTAGTTTGTTGAAAAAGAAATGTCCCATCTTTCCATCTTCAGGTTCAATCCAGACACGAGTTGCAACTTAAAATGAACATGATTAAAAACACCATTTCAGTCGGCAATTTTTTTCTTAATTAGAATATATTATGTAATTGTTAAATAAGTAAACCTTAGTTTTTAGTTCACATATACCCTGGTATATTGTAGGCGCAGATTCTGGCTGTTTTTTGTTTGTTTTGTTTTTTCAAAATCAAAATGGTGAAAGGCAGAGATTATGTAACAACAGTTTATAAACATATTTATAAAAATTTTAAACACAGATTTACAGCTTTCATTCAAATATCCGAAAGTAATTGGATAAAGACCTCAACATAGAATAATAAGCTCATCATTCAATTGCTATTACAGACACCTGTTCGATATTATCACTTATTCAAGACAGGACTAAATTCAAACCTTTTGTATAGGGCTGTCTTGTTTCAGTTTCTAAGTAGCTGGTGGTCTGTCTTGTTTCAGTTTCTAAGTAGCTGGTGGTCTGTTTTGGTTTAGTTTCTAAGCGCTCGGAGTGTCTTGTGTTTCGTTGTTGGAATTCATCGTACAACTGCTGTAGTTGTTCATTCGCCATCTGTTTGAACGCTAGCATCTCAGTAATATCTCTCAAATTGTACTGCAAAATAACAAAATCAAGATAAACTATTTATTTTCTAAAAGGGGCATCTCCATTTAAGTCTAATCTCACAACAAATTTGCTTTCTGGATTAAAATTACAATGGATAACAAAAGATTGATTAACATTATAAACAATAGTGTACCATGATTCCTTGGTGCAATCCCTGGGTTTGGCAGGTTTCCCTTTAAGTTCAGAAAAAATAACACCCGCCTATTACAACAGATTTTCAGTAAAATACATAGGTCTGATTAGACATATCAGTAAAACACGTAACATATCAGTGTTGGCATAGCTGACAGCAAACGACATGTGTAACAAAATTTCAGAAAATCAAATAGCCAAACAAAAGCACATTTATACATATTCCCCTCAAATAGGATCTGTCAAAATACTAGTTGGTAGAACAAGGCGGGCAAGGATGGAAAATGAACTATTATAGTGACAATTGACCATTCAGTCAAAATAGATTGCTGTTTCAGCAGAGCCTTGATTGTTTCCCTTATGCACATATGAACTAATCCAAGGTACACATATATTAAGTATCAAAGCATTTGGAGTAGCGGTTTTCAGAAGAAGTTGAAAATAGCATTTTTTTACCAAAAATTACAAAAATATTCACCAAAAATAGGAAATTGAAGATATTGGCACGAAATGAACAATCTGACAGAGGTTCACCCAAGGTACCTACATACCAAGTATCAAAGCAATTGAGCTGCTAGTTTTAAAAAAGAACATGGAAATATAATTGTTGACGGACAGATGGATGGACGAATGATATGACGAACAATTGCCTAGTATATGAACATCTCAGCTCTGTCATCTACGATGGCAGCGGAGTTAACAAAAAAACAAGTAAATAGCATATATGCCAATTACAAGATCATGCCTAAATTTAGCAACCCTTATCACTTCACGACCAAAATAAAAAGCTGCCATGAGAGGGCATCCACTTTCTATTTCTAGGTTCAATTCTTCAAATCACAACAGTGGCCCATACGTGTTGGGCATTAAAGAAATTTATTCCCATTGTGCAGTATGCTTTAACATGAACAGCAACATTTTTTTGACAACAATGGCAACAACGGTCTCTGTTGGCTGGATAAGTGTGTTTGAGAACAAACAAAGAAGAAATATATTGAAATATATCAAGGATATGTAATCAAAACAAGTGCATTAACATTTGACCATTTTTATTAATTTTTTGTATTTTTTTCTTAGTTCTAAGATTTGATCTAATTTTTGTTAATGTTTAATTTGTTTTGTAATGCCACTATTACCGGTATTTATTTATTAAAATAGTGAGATATAAATTCAAAATAAACAAACAAACAAACAAACAAACAAATAAATAAATAAATAAATATTTCTCGAAATGAACCCTATTTTGGAGCCAACATACAAAATTTGTGTCAATTTTCAGTTTTTACTCAAACAATTTGGCTATTTTTGTGCCAATCTACTGAAGGAAAGTGCAGCCTATAAACGAGACTGTTTTGTGAATTTGTGATGAAAAAAAGGAACTGGTGGTGAAAAGTTTAAATCAAATTTAAAAACGAGACAAACAAAGGTCATGGTGGCGTCAAAACATCCTGTGGGATTTGACGTAAATGATATTCAAAGTACAAGTTGTTACATACCCCTCCTGGAATCCTACCATCATGCTTTGCTTGGAGCCATTCCATTAGTTTGACAGCATTATTTTTAAAAGTCTTCTTTTTTAACTTTTGTAATTTCTTTTGCAAACTAAATCACTGGTATACACTTTCAAGACTTTCTATGGAGAAAAAATTTTAATTTTAGATGGCCATTGTTGGATTGGCAAACCCGACATTGACAAGCATTGGTAGTCCCGGTTTCGTTTTCATGATAATTGATCTGATTCAATACGATTTTAGACAAAATGGCTGTCAATTCAACAAAATTGATCAAGTCATACAAAATAACACAATCTATGGTATTACCAAAGAGTATAGTACTTGTGTGCAAACTGTAAACTGAATCAGGTGGTTTATTAGTGAGGACATGACATGAATAAAAGACAAAATGGCCACCAGTCAGCAATTTTTTTTTTAAATCTTGACAAAAAGAACCTGCATCTAAAATTAATGTGTTCAACTCCACAAATTTGGCAAATTCAAAGACTAAAATAGCTGCCAGTCAGCCATATTTTATCAAATAAGGAATAAAATCAGTATACAAATGTTTGTGGTCAAAGCATGCCTGAGAAATGGTTCTGGACGCTCGGACGGACAGACAGACAGACAGACAGACAGACAGACAGACAGACAGAACCAAATCAATAGTATCCAATTCCAGACTTTGTTCACAACAGGGACTGACAATGACTTTTTTCAAAGTGATCGTTTATGAGCTAAACATCAGACATCATGTGTGAAAAGAAACAACAGTTCTTGCTAGCATGTCAGCAATTAGGACATTTATGTCTCTATTGCCTATATTATAAACTGGGACCAATTTAATATTTGCGTTTTTCGTCTCAAGGAATATCAGATATAAATCTCTGCAACAGCGTTTGTTAATCCAATCTAAGAAAAGAATGACATGTATCAAGGTTTCATTATGTTCAAAATGCATACCAAGTTTGAAATATATTGATGCACGACTGAGATTTAGTTTCAGAATGGCAAAAATGCTTGATTTTGTAGCAAACTCCATTAAAATGGCCACCATTCGGCCATCTTGAATTCAATCACCAAACGAGTACATGTGTAGTATTTGAATGTTACTTGATCATAGCATTTGTGTCAATTATAAGTAAATGTGCTACTAATAGACAAACACAGAAGTTCATTTTCCACGTTTGGAACATGAACTGTGACCGTTTTCCTCTTGAATATTGTAATGGCATTTATACTGACAATTTGAAAGATGGCAGTCAAATTTCAATATTGCACTCTATGAGAATGTACACCGCTCTGTGAAATGATGATGTATACTGCTCTGCGAAACATTTTTGACAATCAGAATACACTGATTATTTTATGTGTCTGTCGCTTACAATCATGACTATTTTGAAGTTAGTTTATTAGTTAAGCAAGATTTGGGCATTATTCCAGTCTAAAAGAAGGAAAGCTGAACAAGTCTTAAAAATGACTGTCCTTCATAAGTTTAATTAAATCAAAGTATTAGTAAAAACTGTTAGTGATGATTTCCAAGTAGGCAACAGTGTACTTAACATGTTAGAACACATGATAGAAACACTAATAGAAACACATGAAGCCTAGATAGAAACACATGATAGAAACACATGATAGAAACACATGCAGGTAATGTTTACAAAAATGTAAACAATGAGCGATAGGTGATTATTCATTCATTGTGAGATCTAGCGAAATGTGTGATAGACATGGACTGAACAGCTGCCAAAATTCTTAGGAATTTCATTTTGAGCCTGAATTTTTTTCTAATTTATCTTTCTTATAGTTTAATGTTAAAATGAGAGTCTTTCCGACAGAAATACAAGATTGAGATACCCTTACTTCATCAAGTTGACTATCATCGTGTATAAGCACATTATTAACCATTGAAATATGTTCGTCTAATCCCATGTGAAGTAATAACGTCACTGCAATGCTATGATCTTTGTTTGTTCTGTTTTTACATTCAAATATTCACACATAACGCAAGATCTCATGATGAATGGAAAAATGTTACATTTTAAATGAAAGTAGTGAGTGAGAAATAGCTAGTTTATTGTTATACCATACAATGTAGCTATACAGATCAATTACCTGGTTGTTTACTCCATTAAAGTAGCTATGCCCACCTAATTTTAAAGAGTGAAGTAATATATGTATGGTTTGTCTTTCTTCTTTCGGTAAAGTTGGTGGAAATTCTATAACAGAATTTTCATCACCTGGTTTCAGTTCAAACTGCAAGTCAAATAAGATTATACATAAGATTATTCAAGAGTATATTCAACATGTTTTAAAGCAGAATGTTACTCAAAAGTAAAATCATGCAATTTCTTCATATTTTCAGATTATACATGAATATTTTTAATATTCAATATTATATACCAGCTAATAGTTAAATGGTACATACAGTTCACTAATAATGAATTTTCACGAGATGACAATCGCAATTCTCATAGATACTGCCAAATTACCAATGCAGATTACTGGCAGGTCGTATGGTAAACATCCATGACCTTTGAACTTTTTACTAATCCAAACATGTCTTTAAAAATCAAATGATTTAATCTCATCTGGAATCTGGTTACAAAAAGTAAATGATTAAAAAGCAACTGAAAAAAAGTGACAAAACGCCTGACAGAATAATGTATGTCTCGTCGGCAAGATCAATACAGCGAATTTGCAAACATCACGCCTTCTTGCAAGGAGGGGCAATGAATATTCATTTTGGTGGTTATGGTAACACCGCAACAAAACCATGTTCGCATTGTCGGCAAAAATCACAGACTGTTTTCAAGAAGATGATAAACATTGAGTAGAAATAAAGACATGGTTACTGTCAATGAGTAGCAATCAATGATAAGGCTGTTGATCTGACCTGTGACCCAATGGGTCCTTAGCACAAGTGCATGTCTACTTTCCTCTTTTAGAAGTGTTTCACTCCCGGGTTTCCGAACATATCAGAATTGACCCGTCGTGGTAATTTGCATTTGACCACTGGAAGTTACTCCAATACTCAAATCCACTATCTGGTTTCGAATTCTGACCTCCCATAGTTTATAACAAATATGATGCAGCAAATACAAGTATTGGTGTTAACGTATTACCGGTAAATCATTTATTTTTCAATGCTAACACTAGTATTGTGAATGATAAAAATGTTTTAGCTTGATCTTTGCATGCTTTGTAAACACAAGAACATCAAAAAAAAGTACAGTTTTCATGACGAGAATAAAACATATCTGAGTGACTCACACGAAACCAATTCAGTATGTTCCGCAGTTCATCGTGATGCCCATTCCATATCACTTTGTACATACCATATGACTGCATTATTGTTTCCACTGGACAACCTGGAGAAAAGAATTCAGTTTTCAATCACCACTGTATACTGTAACATCACTGTCAAAAGGATTGAGCTAGCATTTAGAGCAACGTTGTACTATAGTTTCATTTTCACAGACTATTACTAGCACTATTGCAAAATCAGAGTAAAGTACGTAGACAATGATCATTAAAACAGGAGCATGAAAAACGTAAATGTTTCAAAACTGGCACTGACTTGGTTGACTTCATTAATGAGAATAATCTTATCATTTTTGTTTTCTCTCACTGTGAAAGCCTTGTATTGAATAACTCCCATCAAGAGTCTTGCAGTTTCATTTGTCCAATCAAAATGTGTGTTTCAAACAGTGATGCTAACCCCCATCATGCTTCCTATCATTAAAGCATTATCTCATTGGATGATCTAATGTATTTGAGTGAAAACAAAATCTTATGCTTGCTGGTGGGAGTTTTTTAGAAAATAGTAAAAAAAGAATATATTGTAATGAAGCACCACTACTATTTTATTTATAACTAGTATAAGGTATATCCCAAAAAAATTAACTCTTTTGTCTGCTCATTCCCACATAAAATGTTGATATAAATTGACAATCTTTTGATAAAATACTAAAAGCAATATTTAAAATAAACTGTTTATATATTTGATGAAATTTAGTGAAAATTTTACAAAAAGTGCAGTACCTTTAGGTTTACTATCAGTGTTTAGAATCAGAACAAATTCATCTTGATATTCAGTTGGTTTCTGCCAATATTGTTCTCTATCTTGGTTCACAAAGGTATCTGAAGCATCATTATCAGTCGCCATGGTGACTCCATCGCTGGAAGTCTCATCTTCTGCTCCCCATTGTGGTTGATATGGCTGGTTATCTTCTCCAGGAAATGGATCACTTCCATCCCACGTGTTGCCTTGAACACCATCATACGTTGGTGATCTCTCAGACTTGACTTCCTCTCCAGTGACCTTGTGAACTTTGTCTTCTTGCTGTGCGCCTTCCTCGCTCAGTTTGACATCACTGCTATCATTGTCAGAACATACATAATCCATCCTGTGACAGCTACTCTTCAATCAGCAAATTTCTGTAAACTGATCTGTAAACAAGTTCTCAAAAAGTTACTAAGCATGTTACTATAACAACCTACTGTAGAATACTTAATTTTCGCTCGCAATTTATTTTCGCTATTTTCGCTGAAAAGATGATTCCATGAAAATAAAATCCAGCGAATATACTTTTTTTCTATATTTCACATCAAACTCATCAAAAATCAGTGAAAATAAATTCCATACGAAACGCCCAAAATGCCTTTTCAGCGAAAATTAATTCCAGCGAAAATAAAGTATTCCACAGTATTCACTATCTGAAAGCTTAGATATAAGCGAATACAATAGTATTCATGCTGCACCAATGTTTATCTAGAATATTACGTGGTGCTGAAGTGTTGACTGCCAATTCCAAGCTATTCTACACAGACTACAGGATGTCGGTTGCATATTAAATTTGTTAATTTGTGTATGTACCATTATTCAATATATACATGAATCAGAACAATT